TAAATATGTTCATTTGTGTCTTTTTTTTAGATTCCACATATAAGTGATATCATATGGTATTTTTCTTTCTCTTTCTGGCTTACTTCTTCACCTAGAATGACAGTCTCCAGTTCCATCCATATTGCAGCAAATGGCATTATTTTATTCTTTTTATGGCCGAGTAGTATTCCATTGTATGTATATATGTGTGTATAGTGTTCAGAGCAGATAGGTATTCTTATCTGGAGTTGGCAGTCACAAAATTGGGAGGAAGATGACCGAGGCTTGGGTCATAAATTGCCATGTGTATCAGTCAGGACTGTTGTTTGCAAGTGACAAAAAGATCTCATTTGTCTAAGGAGTATGTTGTTGGCTTGCCTGACCAAGAAGGGTATGGGAATGGTTGGAATAACAAGAACTGAAGGCTCTCATCCTCTCTCGCTCTGTCACTGCTGCTTTTTCCTTTGTGAATACTTCATTCTCTCCTACCACAGACAAGTTCTTGCCAAGGAGTGGAGAACAGTATCACTTGTGGTTTTTGGCTCATGTCTTTTCCTTTTCAAAAAATTGTGCTAAAATATACATGAAATAAAATTAACTACTTTAACCATTTTTAAGTGTACAGGTCAGTGGCACTAAGTTCATTCACACTGTTGTGCAGCCATCACCACTATCCATCCCCAGAACATTTCCCCATCCCAAACTGAAATTCTGTACCGACTAAACAATAACTTCACATTCCTCCCTCCCCCAGCCCCTCGTAACCGCTATTCCATTTTCTGTCTCTATGACTTTGACTACTCTAAGTAATTCATGTAAGTGGAATAGTACAATATTTGTCCTTTTGTGTCTCTCTTATCCACTATACCATTTTCTTTTGAGCATAGAGGAAGGGACCTTCTTTGGCACACACTTCTATCCCCTAGCTCCATTTTTTAAATCCTGAGAGAAAACTCTAATTGGCTTGGCTTGAGTGACATGCTTACTTTTAGGTCAGGAAGATGGTGCGTGCATTGATTTGCTCAGCTGGGGTTACATGGCTACCTTAGAGTCTTCCTCAGTTCTCTGGGTATACATACTTTCTCATAGAGTCTTTTCTTTCTTTCTAAAGTAGCACCCCACATCACTCTAGACTCTTATTATACCTTTTTTTTTAAGAGCACTGATCACTGCCTATCATTAAATAGACTATTTTGCTTATTATGTCCCCTACCACTAGAATGTAAGATTTATAACATCAGGGACCTCCACTGACTTGCTCACTGTTGTATCCCCAGTGCCTAGAACAGTGCCTGGGCCATAATAGGACTTCAGTAAATATTTTTAAGTAATTAATTGACAATTGGGCTGGAGATAAAGATTTAGTATTCATTGGTAAAATCGATTAAAAAAATGAATTTTGCTTCCACCTCCCTAGTGAAGATAAGCAATTACAAACTGAACAAAACTGAACTTCAAGTATATACGAACACAGTGATTAAACAAGAAAGTTATGCACAAACAGCGAGAGAGCTCTGCTTTCTAAAGATGGATAATTGTGGAAGATACGACTTTGCATGATGGATGCCTGAGTTAGAGTCCTGAAATTGCAATAGATTAAGCCCTTTCTGAAATTGCTTTCTGTTGCTGAGCATTTAAACTTTAAATGTGAGTGTATAAGCTCATCAGCTATGTACACACACGTACACACACACACACACACACACACACACACACACTTTGGAAACTAGCAAAGCAGATATGAGTCTAAAGCCATAACGGGTAGCGCAGTCCTTTCAGAACTGCCCTTGGCCATAGCCAGGCAAGTGAGACCACTCCGGAGCACATCACATTGTTGTGCTGCCCCACATAATCACCACTTGGATCCTGTTCGCTGTAGCTGCCACAGCTCTCTTCCCCTACCTGTCCTTGAAGTCAAGGGCAGGACAAGGCAAAAAGGAGCTAGAAGAAAAGTAGGGGCTGTATCAAAAAATAGAAGAAAGAAGTAGGCAAAAATGATCCCTCACCTTCCCGGCTTCCTGGTGCTGCTTTCCATCCTTTATTCCCCATAGAGTGTATTATCCTTATGATGTGTAGTGGGCATCCCAGACGCAGCCCCTGCTGCACCTCAGCTAAGTCTGCCGCACTCACAGGGTTCCTCAAAATCACTTCTTCCATACCTCCACCCCCCACCCACTCCTGACCTTCAACTCCAGTGAGAACTCCCATTCCCTGATAGGAAAACAGTTTAATTAAACTGTATTGTCTCAAGATTGTCTCCCTACCCCCACCCCTGCCAAGCTTCTCTAGGTGTTAAAAAGCCCTCAAGGAATGGCTTTTTTCTTACTACCTGTCTGAACCAGAAAATAGGCTCTCTGTGGCAGCTTTTTGCGTTTCTCTCTAGGAGATTAAATAGAACCACAGCCAAAACGTTCTGGGAGCCAGCCCCCACATTCGGCTTTTAGGAAGTGGGAAAGGTAGATATGGTGTACCCAGAGTCGTTGATTTATGTCACAATACCACGCTCTCTCAGTTATTCACAGCAATGGTTAAGCATTTATTCTTAATTACCAGGGGCTTAATAATGGCCATGCACGTACCAAGTGCAGATCAAGTTAATTACTAAGTTCTACTTTTCACCTGTACTTAATCCTGATTGTGTGCTGCTCATGTGATGTGATCACCTGCTCTCAGCTTAAGAAGTAGCATTACTAAAAAGTACTCATCAGTGCTATAATTAGTTAGAATACCTTTGTTTTAAAAGAACAAAAAAATTAACTGAACTGTTGGAGTTTCCTGAGTTTTTGACTTTCTTAACAACTTGTAGGAGTCTGTGTGCTCTGAAATCACGTTTCTTTATGATATTTGATATGAATAGGAAACCTAATATTATAATCCTGGAATTTGTGAATCTTTGAAAAGGAATTAAAACGCTACTAATTCTTACTATAAATCATAGTCTTCTTAGATAGATTTGGGGATGTGCTTAGAGAAAAAACATTATAATACCAGCCAAGATAAATGATATATAGAGTCAGTTTTCTGCCACTAATTGGGTTATCAAACTGCCTCATTTTAAGGGATTTCTTTTGGTTTAACATCTGCAAATCCGGTCATCCTGTCACCCTGTCACCCTGTCACCCTAACTGTAGCTGCTTCAGTGCACAAGTTAGCATTCAACATTCTCCTTTTCTCCAAGAGGGAGAGCTTGGTCAAAAGTTACTGTGGGACAGACATAGAATACAAACTTGTGGTTGCCACGGGGGAGGGGAGTGGGTAGGGACAGACTGGGAGTTCGAGATTTATAGATACTGACAGGTATATATAGAATAGATAAACAAGTTCATACTGTATAGTACAGGGAAATACATTCAAGATCTTGTAGTAGCTCACGGTGAAAAAGAATATGAAAACGAATACATATATATTTTCATGTATGACTGAAAAACTGTGCTGTATAACAGAAATCGGCACAACATTGTAAACTGACTATAACTCAATAAAAAAAATGAATTAAAAGAAAACACTAATTTAAGGACACTTCTACATAAGGAAATATTAATCAAATAGAATTATTTTACCTTAAAGCTAATTAAAATTATATGTAGTTATATATTTTAAAAAGTTACTGTGGGGCTCAAAGAACTGACTTTTTCTTTTCTTTGAAGTACAGTCAGGTACAGTGTATCAGTTTCTGGTGTACAGCACAATGTACCAATCATGCATATACATACATATATTCATTTTCGTATTCTTTTTCATTAAAGATTATTACAAAATATTGAACATAGTTCCCTGTACTATACAGCAGAGACTTTTTTAAATCTATTTTTATATATAGAGGCTAACATTTGTAAATCTCAAACTCCCAAATTTATCCCTTCCCACCCTCTTTCCCCAATAACCATAAGATTGTTTACTATGTCTGCAAGTCTGTTTCTATTTTGTAGATGAGTTCATAGTGTCCTTTTTTTTTTCAGATTCCACATACAAGTGATATCATATGGTATTTTTCTTTCTCTTTCTGGCTTCGCTTAGAATGACCATCTCTAGGTCCATCCATGTTGCTGCAAATGGCATTTTATTCTTTTTATGCCTGAATAGTATTCCATTGTATAAACACACCACAACTTCTTTATCCAGTCATCTGTCAGTGGACATTTAGGTTGCTTCCATGTCTTGGCTATTGTATATAGTGCTGCTTTGAACATTGGGGTGCATGTATCTTTTTGAGTTAGAGTTCCCTCTGGATATATACCCAGAAGTGGGATTGCTGAATCAGAACTGACTTCTTTTCCTGTATCTGATAAGCCTATGGAACTTTGGTACATCAGATACATTTACTATAGCGTAGTACTATAACATATTTACATATATTTGCTTATGTACTTTCATACTTTTGCAATAACTCAGACTTCTAAAAGATATTATTTTTTTCTGTTATAGGACAATGAAGGTCAAACAGCTCTACATTATGGTAAGATGTTTTAAAATTATTACTAATTATATTTGACTTTTCTCTATTTGTTTACCTCAACTTTGTCCAGCCCCATATAGTGCTTGAAAAAAATGCCTAGCCAGTAGCAGAGATACAGCAACTTTTTATTTAAAAAATAAATTAATTACCTCTAAACTTGGAGATATATTAAAATTCTTATGGGCACACGATAGTACATTGAGCATTTCTATACATCAACAGAAATGGAGACTCCTCCAACCCCCTTTTGAAAATACATTGTTTCATTCCTCTTACTATCGGTGACAACTAAGATGATAATCACTGTCACTTAGGAGCCGGGATCTCTCCTATAAGAAATAGTTTCTTGGTGTAATTGAAGTGAAGAAAAATAGGTGTGATTTTCAAATTTATTTTCCCTACTAACTGATTAGCCTAGTTAAGTAATCTTCACGTAAGTAATCTGTAAAATAGAGGATAATCTGTAAAATGGAAATAATATGGCTCTTAAAAGCTACCAGGTAATTTCAATGAAATAAAAGAAATTGAAGTATTTTGTAAATTTTAGAAAAAGTATTCTTGCTTTTATTCTACTTGAGTGTGAATATGGTTGAATAAAACACAGCCATCAATATTTAAACCAGAATATATCAAGAACATCTACCCAGTCCATAAGGAAGACAATCAAATAGAAAAATCAACCCCAAAAAACAGTCAACTCACAAATGAGAAGAACTGAATAACTGATAAACAAGAAAAGATGCTCACCCTCACCAGTAACTTTCAAGAACTATGGACAGTCTGAGATTATACTCTGCTTGCAGGCTAACAAGCTAGCCTGACAGTTTTATGGATGTTGGCAAGAGACACGAAACTCCTGGGTCAGAGACAAAAGACTGTTATTCACAGCACAGCAAGCAGCATGAGCTTCATGTTTGTGTCATTTCCCCTTGAGTCGCACAGGAGCTACAAAGACAAGACCAGGAAGGTCCTGCACACACAGTGTGTCATGGCTTAGGAATTCTAGGCTTAGGGAACTCCAGTCTTTCATAATGAGCTGCCAGGAGACCTGTTCATCATTTGCCCTGGGGAAACACATATCTTATTTTACTGGACAATAAACAAACCTGGCCTCTACTGTGGAAGGAAATACTACCTCTGTTGTCCAAGGCTGTTCATTACACAAACATCTTTGAAAAGCTTCCATTACTTCTGCTCACAAGGGGTGCAGAAACATGAAAGTCCCTCAGAAAATTGTCTCCCAACAATAATCAGGGAATGCAGATTAAAACATTTAGATAAACCTTCACACTGGTCAGACTGGCAATATGTTAACATCTACAAACATTAGTATTAGGTTGTAGAGGAACAAGAACTCTCATGCCTGGTTAATGTGGGAGTGCTAACTGTTGCAGTCACTTTGGAGATGAATTTAGCAAGATCTCGGGAAGTTAAAGGTACGCATACCGTACAACCCAGCAATTTCATTTTAGTATATACCCTAGAAATAGTCCCCAATGTGTATATAATGAGACATGGTTAAGAACATGTGTTGCAGCATTATTTGTAATAACCAAATACTTGTCTTATTAGCCTTTATATTCCTCTTTATGCCATACTTAAAATAGTTCATTTAAATCACACATATATATACACATATATATGCATACATATGTATTTTATGTTACCAAATGCCTTTGAAAGGTATATCATTAAAAATGTGCATATATAATAAAGTACACAGGTAATCTTTAGGCTCCTTTTTATAAACAGCTCTCAGAAGTAGTTATTGTTTTCCCCAGTTTATAAATGAGAAAACCAGAACTCAAAAAAGTTAGTAAACTTACCTAATGGAGCCAGAAATTCAAGCCCCTATCTCTAGGTTTACTAGGAAAGGAAAGAAAAATGAATGCCTTCCCATGCCACCTTCCACAGCACTCACATCTCTCACTCCTCACACGCTTATATGATAACTCTGTCATACAGCTCCTCTAACATCACCAAGAGCTCGCTGTTCTAAGCCCTAGTTTTCGACCCAGGGAAAAACTTTTCTCAGCCATCTTTATAGCTGCTTAAACCAGGCATAGGTCAAACAACCATACATAATCAAAAAGGAGAAACAATAAACTCTTCACAGTGATTGTGAGGCCTTCAGCATAAATTTCAGGACTGCGCTTTCTTCCTGATGCCTGGCTTCAAGAAGCAAACTTTCTGTTTCTCCAAAATATGTGCTGTGAAGTCTAGAGTTCACTGCTCTGCTTAGAAAGACGACTCCGCCAGCGTAGCCACGTGCCATGCCACATCGGTTCTTATTTCTGTCCCCTTGTTCCTTCTTTCATCCACTCACTCAGATGTTTTTTAGTGCCTTCTCTGTGGCATGTGTTGTGTTTTCCTTTCATTCCTCCATCCAGAAGCTGTAGAAACAGCGAAACCAGACTAAATGTGCCCTTGAGAAGGTAGATGGGTCCCTCCGTCATCTCTAGTTAACCTAGGGGTTAATGCCTTCATGGATGTGGGAGTGCGTCCATTTAAGTTTGATATGGGTACAACTTATTTCTAGACAGCAACAGGGTTGGGGATTTTTTTTTTTTGGAGCTCTTTCTGACTGTCTTCCAAATAAGCTGTATTATCTTTATGTACTGATGGAAAAATCTCCAAGATATATTGTTAAGTGAAAGGATTAAGGCCCAGAACAGTGTATATACTCTGCTGCCATAAATATGTACACATTTGCTAGTAAATGTGTAAGATATCTCTGGAAGGATACACAGAAAGCTAATGTTGGTTGCCTAAGGAAAGAGGAACTGTGAAGCTAGAATAAAAGCATAGGGTAGAAGTTTTATCCTATAAACCCTTAAATAACTTCTATATCAGGACCCATATGCATTTATTAGCTATTTGAAAATTAAATTTACAATTGTTTTCAATCTAAATATCATAGGCTCTATTAGTACTATAAATATGACTTAATTTCCTAATTATATTTTATTCATTCACCAAATACTTAATGAGCACCTACTATTTGCTGGATAAATTATACCAAACATCCTTTTTAAGGTAAGAGATGTCTTCACCTCCCACCCAATAAACAAGGCCGTAATAACCATAAGTGATAGAGTGTGTTAACATTGTGTCTCATCTGGGAAAACTATGGGCTTAGGTTTCAATGCCAGCAAACTCTGGAAATAATGCTTCTTGAGCCAGGAGTAATGGGGAGTTGGAACTGAGACCCTGTGCATAAGCCAGGACCTTCAAAGGACTACATCCTCAGTAGAGGGGGGAAATTAGATTAGATTAGAAAAAGTTGACACACTAGTATAAGGCAGGAAAACAAGCTTATTTGCCACAGACCAGAATCTAGGTAGAAAATAAAAACTCCACCTTATGCAAGTTTGGGGTTTACATTTATACTCTCTCTGACTGTTTCAGAAATTCTCAAGTTGAAAAATTAACATAATAAGAATATGGGGCTGGTTACCCCTAAAGGATTTAGCAGAAGTATATGCTAAACTTCTTTTGAGAGACACATCCTCAACCAACACAGTACATAATTCCTACAGAAAAAAGCTCTGCTGAAAATGAGCTCACAATCCAAAATTACAAAATACATTTGAGTGAGTATCAGCAGACATAGTAAACCACAGATTAGGCTTAAGGAATTTAAGTAAAACTATTAGATAGAAATTATCAGAGAAGTCTATGTAAAATCAAGGAATGAAAACATAAGAACAGGACACTCCAAAAAAGAACAGGCAGATTTGAAAGAGAATCAAATGGAAACTGCAATAAATAAAAAAATACAGAAATCTTACAATGAATAGGTTAAAGTGCAGAATTGGACAAGTTAAAAAAAAATGAACGGAAAGGCCATTCTAAAAGGCAGCACAGAAAGATAAAGAAATAGAATTGTAAGAGACATTAAGTGTAAAATGAGGAAGTCCAACATTTTAAAATAGGAATTCCAGAATGAGAAATGAGGGAAGAATCAGTATTTAAAGATATTTACTGATATTTCCATAATTGATAAAACATTAGCATCTTCAGATTCAGGAATTATGAGATCTGCTCAGTGTAAGGTATTAACGCAGTGGAATACTATACAGCAATGAGAAGGAACTACAACTACATGCAACAACTTGGATGAATCTCACAAACATACTGATTTCAAGGTGCCAGACACAAGAGCATGTACCATATGCTTCCATTTACATAAAGGTCAAAAATAGGAAAAACTTGTCTCCAGCATTAGCAGACAGGATAATGGTTACCTTGGGAACTGGGTAGGTAGCATTTGGAAGGGATTACCAGGGCAAGGGTGCTTCTGAGATTCTAATGATCTGATTCTTGACCTGTGTGCTAGTTACATGGATAAATTTATCTTAAGAAAATCTATATTCAGGATTTTGGTACTCTTCTGAATGTATTTTGTACTCTAATATAAAGTTTACACACACACACACAGATCAAAACCTGGACAGACATAAGATTTGGTGTTACGGTTTCTCATATATATAATCTTTTAACCTTTCCAACAAATGTCTGAGCTAGGCCTTGTTTTCCTACAGTTGCAAAATAAAAAACTGAAGTCCAGAGAGGTAGCATAAGCTTGACAGGGTGACACAGGTTGTAGGTAGCAGAGCTCGGACACTTGTCCACGTCTTCTGATTCCACTTCCAGTCCTCTTTTCATAACTTCATTAATAATTACCATCCTGCTAGCCTTTTTTTTCCCACATTTTTTTTCATCCGGGTATCCTTTTAAAGCAGACATTATTTTGTGGAAGATAGTCTTCTATAGAACTAAAATAAATGAAAATCCCTTATCATCGGTCACCTGGGTCAGTGAGTCAGGCTATTTTTCAAAACTATACTTATGAGTGAACACATATATCAATACCTGTGTCCATCCGTGTGCCTTTATATTTCTGTTTCTGTTCACTGAGAGCTTAGACAATCATAAAAGTTATTCCTGAATTCAGGAATCCTGCCCAAAATTGATCTAGTAAAATGATCTCTATTTCTGTCTCTCAGATTATTTTATTCACTGTAGAAAGAACAAAACAAATGCCATATGTGTTATAATCAAGATAATTAAACACTCAAATAATATTATTACTAGAAGTTTTGGCATTACAAATACGTAAAACTGAAACAGTCTGACAACCCAGGAAAATTTCATGAAATTAATATTTTAACATAATAATGACCTATAGATATGATTCATTTTTAATTTAGATATTTTTTATTTGATCACTAGACTTTTACCAGATTTTAAGGTCATCAAAACAGAGTTTGGATGTAATAATAATAACAGTTATCGTTTATTAAGCACCTGCTATATGCCAGAGTCTCTGCTGGGTGTATTTTATCCATTTAGTCACTTAATATTATTCAACCTTGTTTATTTAATAGGCACTCGGTAGTTATTTGTTGATTTTACTTTGATTTGAGAACCCTTAACCTATCCTTAGAACTTTCATAAGACTATATGTATAGTTAAATCCAGTGATTGCAGACAGTGCTGGGGATGTTTGGGGGCTTAGCTGTTTTATGAATTACGGTTTGGCTTGACAGCTGTCCTTGTGTTGACAGCTCTTCTGATTATAGCAGTTGTCAAACTCCATCCTTAAGCAGGTTGTAAATCCTGGCTTCTTCCGATTAAAACTGGGTCATAGCCAATGGCAGGTTAACTAGAGGCCAGTGTTAGCTACTACTGTATGTCCTTACTAGTTCATTCTAAATGCGCTTTGCATGGATAGCAGCTCACTAAAACCTTTATTTGCCCCTGTTTTACTTTGGTGTTTTTGAATCTTCAGATATCAGTCCTCCTGTTATTTTGTGATTAAACATGGTCCTTACTGAAGAGTATATTACTATAAGTGTGGTCTTCCTTGTAAATGGCCTGTTAGCCTTCTCCTCCCGCCACTCCACTGGGAATACTAACATCATTGCATCTGTGTCTCCCTGGGGAAATCAAGGCTTTTCCTTGCACGTGCAGTCATGTGATTTCAGAGTGGGTAGGCTTTGTATCCTCATGAGCCCTCGATCTTCCACGTAAAGCACCATCTGTTCTGTTCCTTGCACACTGTTACAGGGCAGTGGGAGGAGGCATTAGAGTGAAAATAAATAAAATAAAAAAGAAAGAAATTCATCATCAAAACCCTGAGGATTAATGGAGTCAGAAGCCTCACTGCTCTGAATGAAAATTCATCTTCACCTGTGCCAGTGTCAGGGCTGCCTCTATGGCACTTGACAAATAGAGGTTCCCAGGGTACCATAAATTCAGCAACTGCTCTAATCCCTATAGACTTGCTCAGGCTTTTCCGAGATGGGCTTATGACCGTTTTTGTATTTCCCAGCACATTGTGGGCACCAGTATCCCCTCATTAATTTGGTAAAATGTTAGCACCCTTTACCTTCTCCTCCGCTCTCATCTTCTTTGTCTTTGTCTACTTCGAGGGGGTGGGCAGCTCACACACTTCTGAAAGACAATGCTGCCTTGTGAATTGTGCTTCGCTGAAGATGCCGAAGGCAGAGGAATCAATTAACTAATGAATTATAAGCAAATACGAAGTTCCCGATATTGTGCTAGATGAAGAGGAGAATATAGAAAAGCATATAATCAAATAGCTTACCATCTAATTGGGGGCACACAGCATATATTCTCAAAAACTGTTGGGCACCTACACGTGCCAGTAGGCTCTGTGCTAAGCGTAAACATAATCGATGCCTATCAACAGTGAATCTCCAAGAGGCACTGCAAGTGCCCTCCTCACACCAGGGTAAAATTCACCTATGTGGTTTCCCCTTGTCCCTTAAATCAGTCTTTCTCTTCTTGTCCTTTTTTTCTCTCTACTACAACTTCCCAATTGCTTATGCTCTCATATAGTCTGCCTTTGCATAAACCCCAGGCTTTTGTTAATAAAACTCCTTTCCTTTTAGGTACCATATCCCTCACTCTTAAGTATGGTTTTGCAGCCCTTGAATTCCAAATTTAAATCTCACTTTATGGTTACACTTGAACTAAAATTTCATCTACGTTTGTTAGGTTAGGAGATTGTTGTACAGCCCAATTAAGCCCATTTTCAGCTGGCTGGCTATAGTCCTCTAGATGTGAAACTTAAAAATTTACGTTCCATTCCTAGCTTAGTGCTCATAGATTATATCGTGTCTCACTGCTGGAAGGGTGACTTCGTCATGCAGATTACATGAAATTAACACCCCTTTGTCTGAGATGGCCAGCTTATGTCCTCAGCCACAGTCCACATCTACTTAGCCTTGATCTTCATGATTAGTAGTCTCCACTGTTGGATCATATTTGAGCAAAGTGTGATCTGACAGACCATGGAAGTTATTATCCAGTATTACAGATTTATACAGTGAGCAATTTATTCTTCTGATACTGCTCTAAAAGTTCCAATTTTAAAACCTAACCAAGTGTTTTTCACAATAAATTGTGACTAATAACTGTGGGGAAAAGGTTAAATGATTATTCCTCAAAATATAAATGTCATTTAGCTAGTTGTACGCAGGATAAATATCCTCTTTCACAGCTACTTGGTACTAGGCAGTGCACCTTCAACTTTGTTGTATTTTGTACAGGACTGTCTTCCACTGGAATCTAATTTAGTATGCAGTGATTCATGGTAAAACCTTTCAAAAATGTAAAATAAAAATGTTTATTATATTATTGGGGGAGATAATTTTAAACTCTTGAAGGCATGCTCGATCCTAAATATGTTCCATTGGATGCTGGGTCTCGGTAGATATCCTGTCTCCACCTTCCTCCCTGCCTGAGGCATACCCAAAATATGATCTCAGCTCATTAACGCCTATCCCAGGATTAAAATAGGCACATTTGCCTTCCTGTACCTTTTACTTCTACTCACTATTCATTTATTCATCAAATATTAATTACATTTGTAATCTTAATAGCCTTCTAAGAAATCCCACACCTCTGAAGGCAGAGAGATAGGATTCCCAAACTGTCTGATTTGGGCTCGGAAACATTCCTGCCTTCCACCTCTGTCCTCTTAGAACCACCTCTGCGCCTATGCTGTTATGGGTTAGAGTTTGGTGCCTCAGTTTGTCAGGATGGTTAATATAAAGAATCGCCGCAGCTGTCCCAAATGTATAACTTACCACAACCTGGTTTTGGCTGTTGGCTCTATGCCCACTTCACAGAAATTAACCAGGGAGCACTGAACAAGAAGCACCCACCAGGGAAGAGAAGGCAGTCAAGGGAGCCATAGAAACCACTTTGTCTTTACCTGAGTACCAACAGAGTGCAAAAGAAGAAATGTTACTAATAAATCACTTAAAACCAAACCCCCACAGAGTTCTGCTTCCACTTAACATAAAGAAAACTGCAAGAGAACAATTGCTCCCACACTAACAAGAAGAAAAGTCTAGATAATCTACAAAAATCAAAACGTTTCTTAAACCCATCAGATAGCAGAAGTTGCACATCAGCTAGGTAAACTGGATTCCAAAGAATGACAAGACCCTACAAGACACATCAACTATTTCACCTTTGGTGGAGCACCTGAGAAAGATGCAGCCACCATAAAAGCAGGTCTAAGAAGTAAACAGCTAAAATTAACAAATGTTTCAAGTTGAGTTAGTAGGACACTGTAAAATAACTGGGAGCCTCAGACCCAAGAAGACTTTTCACTGTGCGCTTTTTCATTAACTGGGCACTGTAAGGGAAACTGAGGACAGAGAGAGCACTCATCAGTGGCACACAGGCATGAAACCCTGCCACGTCTCCTGACCCTTACTTCACACACAAAAAAACCCTTAAACCACTGGGGGAGGAGCAGAAAACGTCTGTCCTCTCCTCCTGTCCCTTGGCCCAGCCAGATATCCACTGCATTTGGAGGAAGAGTGAAAGCAAACCCTGTCTGCCGCTGGAGAAGAACAGGGATCCCCTAGGCTCGGGACCCTGCAATGACCCAAAGCAGGGATCCCATGCCTCTTGGGGCAGGACAGGAAGCTCCCACTCACGACATGTTTCCCTTCATACAAGACAAAGTTTGGCTGACATTTTGTGGGGCAAGGAGGATGCAGGAACACTGAGAAATTGCCACCTCTGAGGGCATGCCTAAGACTGAGACCAGCCCAAAAGGACAAAGAACTCTGTCCCAGTCCCACCAGGAGCCTCACTGAGTAATAAGCAATAGCAGTCTATAGAAGAGGGAGCGGGAGGAGCGCAGAGAGAAACTCCCTCTATGGCAGACATCCAGAGACTACTGAAAGCTGAGGGTGCAGTGAGAATGCTGAAAAAGCCCTCTGGCACCTAGGCCACACACTGAGCATAAGGTAGCAGCAGCCCACAGCTGGAGAAATTTGAAGTGTGTGATGCACTGAAGTTATCAATAGCAACAGCAAAGCCAAATCCAGCTCAGTTGCTGACTAGATTGACTCAACACCCGTACTAATGCATGACAAAAGAAGACGCAT